TTTTTTTTTTTTTTTTTTTTTTTTTTTTTTTTTTTTTTTTTTTTTTTTTTTTTTTTTTTTTTTTTTTTTTTTTTTTTTTTTTTTTTTTTTTTTTGCTATTAAAGTCCCAATTCCTTCCTTTCGAGGCTTCTTGAGTCTATAAGGGTGTTCCCTCATGGTTTGCATCAATGACTCGTTGCTAGCAAATCATTAGCTTATCTCTCCACACCTCTTGTGATGTACTCATTATTAGTTCTTTCTTTAAAATTGACTGGATCGGGATGTCACTAGCGCTGATACCAACTATAGGGTTGGGATGTTGAACTTTACATCTCATGGTGGTCTTATAAGCTCTTGATCGTACCATCAGTTAAGGTACCATAATTTTTTACTTTGTTCCTTGATATTCATAATCACAAATTCATGAAAGATTCATACACGTGATCATGAGTTGGGTTCCTGAGCCGCTTATGCCTAAATCTTGATTCTATGTACCCATGTGATCCCTCACCCTTCCAAGGTGGATTTATAGAGTGTGGATCATATTCGAGAGCCCAAGTCCATTTCCACACATAATACATAGTCATAACTTTTTGAATTAGAGACACTTCCCTACTTAGACCAATCTAGGTCATGTGGTCGGAACAAAATCATACAACTACCAATCTAGGTAGTATAATCATAATTGGAATCTTATCAATCGAGGTGAGGGTCGTGAGCTCATGGCGTATCGAAAGATAAGGAGGTACAAGTGATTTTCAGCATAGGTACGCTAGGTTCGGTTCTTTCCATGAAGTGATCCATCACAAGTCCTTAAGAATCCCAACAGTGTACAGTCATACATCATAAATCAGTTCTATGTTCATCAGGACTACTAGCAATCGAGTTAGGTTTATTATTAGGGGCTGGTTGGCGGCCCCTAATTGTCCCCGTCGAACTGCATAAAAGTTGCATGCATGAGCTTATCATCATCAAGTTATAGTTCAACCTACTTTAAAAGTATAATTGTGGACCCCTTACAGCTCATTACAGGTTCACTAAAAGGAAACTGACTGACAAACTCTTTAATAATCCCAACATTGTACAATCATACATCATAAGTCAATTCTATAGTAATCAGGACTCTTGACGATCCAGGCAAGTTTACAATTAAGGTCATTTGGCGAACTCTTGATCACTCTCATATAACCGCATAAAAATCAAATACATAAATAGTAGATACATAACATAGTGACCATAACATATGTACTTAGTCAGGTTTCAGTTTCACTCGAATCAAAGCTTAATTCATGCATTTCTCAAAAATTGTGCATCATAACGTTTATCATACTCTTACCACATCAAATCAACTCATTTCATACTCATATCTTTGTAACATGTTTCAAATAACATATTTTCAGTTGTAACATTCTACATTTTTTAATTATAAAATCAACTCAAATTTCTATCGTATCAAAATTTGATTGTACGGTCGCTCACGTCGCTGCTGCCTTGCTAACATCACTACTGACACACGCCGGCGTCATCCCTTTTTACTTCTTTTTGAGAAATTTTGTTCTCTCACGGACACCATTTTATGGCCTCTGTTTTGGGTGTTCCACTGCTCAAATCAAAATACTTCCTTAATCAAACTTGTAGATCTACATTTCAAGAACATAATGAAATAAATTTCATAAATTTTCATAAAGAAATGAGAAAGATATAGTGAATCAAAGTTGGGTAAAAACTCAAAAACCAGCCTCTTCAACGCTTCAGACCCGAAAATCAAAGTTGGGTAACGGTGTACAGCGGTCACAGGCGCTTTCTTTTTCATATTACAGGACAAAAATGAAAAATGGATGTATTATGAAAATTATTACACAAAAATCTTGGTTAGTTTACATATTTCAAAAGAAATCTGAGCTGGACCTTCCTTAGCAACATCATTGTGTTGCGTAGGTCTGATCCACTAAATACATGGAAACGCCCAGCCCACAATTCTTCTGTTGACGGCCCAAATATTGTAATCATTGTCACTTGTTTTGTTATGTTAGGATTAGGATGTAAGAGGGTAACTCAATATTGTTCTCTTTTGATTTCTCCTCGAGATTTTTAAAATACCGGTTAGAGAGAGGTTTCCACACCCTTATAAAAAATGTTTCGTTCCCCTCTCCAATCGACATGGAATCTTACAATTCATCCCCTTACGGGGCCCAGCGTCCTTGCTGGCACATCACCTCGTGTCCACCTTCCTTTGGGGTTCAACGTCTTTACTGGCACACTGTCTGGTGTCCACCCTCCTTTGGGGCTCAGCATCATCGCTAACACATCGTCTGGTGTCCACCCACCTTTGGAGCTCAGCGTCCTCACTAGCAAACCGTCCGGTGTCCACCCTCCTCTGGGGCTCAAGGTTTTGGTTCTTACTAGCACACTGCCCGATATCTGGTTGACACCATTTGTAACCATCCAAGCCCACCGTCAACAAATATTATCCTCTTTAGGCTTTCCCTTTCGGACTTCCCCTCAAAGATTTTTAAATATGTTTACTAGGGAAAGATTTTCACACCTTTGTAAAGAATGTTTAGTTCCCCTCTCTAACTAACGTTAGATCTCACATAAGATGTTCTTGCTCTTATTTGTAGTGAAGTTTGATCGCTCTCATACAAATTTGCTAGGGAGATGTTTTCACACCTTTATAAAGAAAAATAAATCGTCAAAGGTTTAGGGATTCTCCCATATTTCTTAGGTAAAAGCTGACCTTATCTCCCATAAATATATACATAAGTGATAGATCCTCTCAAAGAAATTGGCATTTGGGTGCAAACATCAAATTTTCCTATGGACTCACAAACTTGGAGTCAATCATGAAAGCACTCCAGTTGCCATGCCAAATACTAACATCTTATAAGGACACTCATCTGTGTTGTACCTGTGATTAGTTGCACAATGATAATAGAGAGCATATGGAACATCGGAGATAATCATATTCAAGAAACCACCGAACATGTTGAAATCCATCAATCCTTTTATATCTTAAAACAAGATAGATAGTGAAGTGATTCAATGCATTCAACAAATATTAAAATTAGTTTTTATGCTTGAACTAGATTTTGAACTAAGATTCTCTACCATGGTATGATATTGTTCACTTTGAGCATAAACTCTCGTGGATTTACTTTTGGCTTACCCAAAAGGTCTCATGTTAATGGAGATAATATTTCTTACTTATAAATAGATGATCTTCCCATTCTCCCTCCCAACAATCCTCCCCTCGAATAAAGTACACCATAAAGCTCCCCCGAGGTCTATGGAGCCCTGGAACACAGTACACCCTTTGTTCAACTCTTGAGTAATTTCTTACTACACCTTCGAGGCTCACAACTTCTTTATTTGACATGTGAGGATTACATTGACATGACTACATTAACGACATGACTCTGATGCCATGTAAGGAACCACGATCGTCCATAATGGTATGATACTGTCCCCTTTGAGCATAAGCTCTCATGACTTTGTTTTTTTTACCCAAAAGGCCGCATGCAAATAGAGATAGTATTGCTTACTTATAAACTATGATCTTCCGCTTAATTAGCCAACTGGGTCTCCCTCCGAGTAACCCTCAACCCCATATACTTTCAAATTTTGTATAAAAAACTAAAATAACCCTTTTCATAATATTCATAAACCAAAGGGGAACGAACAGACAAAGTGAACAAAACATTTAAAACTCAAAGAATAAGAAAAAACCAATGTGAATCAGAATACGAAATGGTAAGACTAAGGGTGGATATTATTACTTGACATGCATTTAGGAATATTCACCATATGAGAGGCAGAATATTATGAGTAAACACAATAAAATAAATACCCTATCATCAACTATTACCCCTTTCCTTTTTTTTTTTCCTGTTTTATAATCACTAGGGACTAAAAAAGAGTTAGCATACCATATAGGATAAGCAGCTAAAACCAAGCTCTGACTTCGAAGCAATGCGAGCTGAATTCCTGTCATGGACCCAAACGGTAATGGGCATCGCCCATGTAATGCCCATCGAAGTAAAAAGCAGCAGCAGCAGCAGCAGTGTTGGGATGGTAAAACCCCTCCATACCCATCAACTGTACATCCTCAGACGGCTTCCAATGCCTTTTCCTCTGGTTTATGAACCAATTATTTATCTGTTTCTGATCCAACCCAGTTGATTCCGCTAGCGCCAACTTCTCTGCCTCCTGCCGCCCCCCACACGCACAAATTAACAGTGTTTTTCGGGTTTTGGTTCTTTGAGGCATTTTCACAAACGGGTTGTGTGCAAGAACAAAAAGAAGCAGAGTAACTTACCGATGGGTATGGCCATTTGCTGTGCACTTCCCACCATCTCAGCAGCTCCTGCCTTGCGTCTTTTGGGAGCTTTCCTTTCTTCTTCTTCTTTGAAAGCTCTTGCTTTAGAGTGCTCAGATACCCACTGTACTTCTTTAGTAAGTGATTCTTTAGCTCTCGCTCGTCTGCTCGTGGGTCGATCTGTTCCGTTGCATCTCTTCCGCCTTCCCCGCCCTTCTCTTGCTCCTCCTCCGATGATCCCATTCCGTCGCGATTTTCTGTCGCTGCATCTTTAACATCATAGTCGAATTTAATGATTAAAATAGCTTTCTTTAAATATTTATAAAGAAATTACATCTGTAAAACAAAACATATTTAATGTGATGTGAAGCCACTAATTATTTTGTCTCATAACATTTAATCCCCAATTAAGACTATAATTAAGCATTAAATCCATCTTAATTAAACCAAATTTTTTATTTAGAAATATAGGGGGAAAAACAAACAAGAAGGGGGAAAGGACAGAAGGTTGAAATCACTATGAAATTAGGGTTTTTAATTTTTAATCTTTTTCTTCCGACAATGGTTGTTTCGTCCTTTCGATCATAAGGGTAAAAGAAAATCTGGCTCAAGTTCACTATTAGCAGATATTGTGTTTTTTAGGTTTTCGTTTTCGAACTCCCCTCAAGGTTTTTAAAAATGCGTCTGTTAGGATAGTTTCCACGCTCTTATAAAAAATGTTTAGTTTTCATATGCAACAATTGACGTGGAATCTCACAATCCACACCCTTAGGGGCAAGCGTCCCACTGGCACTTGTTACCTTTTCTAACCGACTTAGGATTTCACAATCCACACCCTTACGAGTCAGCGTCCCACTAACACTTGTTACCTTTTCCAACCGACTTGGGATCTCACAATCCAAACCCTTAAGGCCCAGCGTCCCACTGGCACTTGTTACCCTTTCCAACCGACTTAGGATCTCACAATCCACACCCTTAAGGGCCAGCGTCCCACTGGCACTCGTTACCCTTTCCAACGAACTTAGAATCTCACAATCCATACCCTTAGAGGCCAGCGTCCCACTGGCACTCGTTACCCTTTCCAACTTACTTAAGATCTCACAATCCACACCCTTTGGCCTACTATCCTCGCTAGCACTCGTTACTCTCTCCAACCGACTAAGGATCTCACAATCCACATCTTTAGGGTTCAAGGTTCTCACTGACACTCGTGACTCTCTCCAACCGACTAAGGATCTCACTGCCCACACTCTTAGGAGCCAGCGTCTTTACCGACACTCGTTACTTTCTGCCTCCGACACGGGATCTCACAAAATCAAATGGGTTGGAAAGTAAACTCCCAGAAAACAAAAATATTTGTGGATGAAGAAGAAGGAAGTACCAGAAGCTAAGATTTGGAAGGAGCCATTACAGAGAGTATTGAGCTGAGATTCAACTCTCTCCATGAAATCAGAAGCTTCTTGAATAGGCTTCGTCAGCTCCTCTCTATACTTCACCAACATCCTATAGTAACCTTCCTGTTTCCAATTCAAAGATTCCAAATTAATCTTCAATATATCCTTCTTCATAAACTTCAAATAACAACTAATCCATTCACCATGAACTGATCAAGTTCTGGATCACTACAACCCCCACTCGCCGCCATTGAACACCGCCGCCGCTCCTCAAACTCCTCCCCTACCGACCCAAGTTCCGCCGCCACCTCCGCCGGAGCTCCCACCTGAAAAAAAAAAAAAAAAAAAAACCCC